CCATTTACAATTGCACTAAAAACTAAGATACCTAGGAATAAACCTAACCAAACAGGTTAAAGATCTGTACTCTGAAAACTATAAAACACTCATGAAAGAAATTGAAGATGACTCAAAGAAATGGAAAAACATTTCATGCTCATGGATTGGAAGAACAAATATTGTTAAAATGTCTGTATCACCCAAAGCAATCTACACATTTAATGCAATCCCTATCAAAATACCACCAGCATTTTTCCTAGAGCTAGAACAAACAATTCTAAAATATGTATGGAACCACAAAAGCCTCCAAATAGCCAAAGAAATCTTAAAAAACAAAAGCAAAGCTGGAGGCATCACAATTCCAGACTTCAAGTTATATTTATTACAAAGCTGTAGTGATCAAGACAGTGTGGTACTAGCACAAAAACAGACACATAAATCAGTGGAACAGAATAGAGAACCCAGAAATGGACCCACAACTATATGCTCAACTAATTTTCAACAAAGCAGGTAAGAATATCCAGTGGAAAAAAGACACTCTCTTCAATAAATGGTGTTGGGAAAACAGGACAGCAACATGTAGAAGAATGAAACTGGACCACTTTCTTTACACCATACTCAAAAATAAATTCAAAATGGATGAAAGACCTAAATGTAAGACAGGAAACCCTCAAAATCCTAGAGGAGAGCACAGGCAGTAACCTCTTTGACATTGGCTGTAGCAACTTCTTACTAAATATATCTCCTGAGGGAAGGGAAACAAAAGGAAAAATAAGCTATTGGGACTTCATGAAGAGAAAAAGCTTCTGCACAGCAAAGGAAACAACAAAACTGAAAGGCAGCCACTTTTAGAATGGGAGAAAATATTTACAAATGACATATCTGATAAAGGGTTAGTATCTAAAATCTATAAGGAACTTATCAAACTCAACACCCCAAAACAAATAACCCAGTTTAAAAATGGACAGAAAACGTAGACATTTTTCCAAAGAAGACATCCAGATGGCTAACAGACACATGAAAAGATGCTCAGCATCACTCATCATCAGGGAAATACAAATCAAAACTACAATGTAGATATCACCTCATACCTGTCAGAATGGCTAAAATCAACAACAGAGAAACAACAGATGTTGGCAAGGATGCAGATAAAGGGGATCCCTCCTACACTGTTGGTGGGAATGCAAACTGGTCTTGCCACTCTGGAGAACAGTTTAGAGGTTCCTCAAAAAGTTAAAAATAGAACTACCCTATGATCCAGCAACTGCACTACTGGGTATTTACCCAAAGGACACAAAAATGCTGATTCAAAGGGATACATGCCCCTTGATGTTTACTGCAGCGTTATCAACAATAGCCAAACTATGGAGAGAATCCAAATGTCCATTGACTGATGAATGGATAAAGAAGATGTGGAATAATGGAATATTACTCAACCATCAAAAAGAATGAAATCTTGGGAGGAGAGTTAATATGAAGGAGTAATGGGGGAACCTCATCCCTTGAACTCATCCCTTGAACACAGCTAGATTAACATATTTTTTTAAAAGATTTTATTTATTTATTTGACAGAGAGGGAGAGACAGCAAGAGAGGGAACACAAGCAGGGGGAGTAGGAGAGGGAGAAGCAGGCTTCCCGCTGAGCAGGGAGCCGGATGTGGGGCTCGATCCCAGGACCCTGAGATCATGACCCGAGCCGAAGGCAGTCGCTTAACCAACTGAGCCACCCAGGCGCCCCTAGATCAACATATTTTTGAACAACTAGGAAATTGATCTAAGGATTAAGAAAACAATCTGCACAATTAGAGGGAGAGAAGGTGGCAGATGCGAGATTTGGAGACGTGAATTGGGGAGAGAAAAGCCACAGTGCCACAGAGGGAAGGGAACCCTTTTCTCAGAGAGAAGACAGGGAGAGAGGGGAAGAGAGAGCAGCAGGTGGGGCTTGCACAAGACATCATGGGGTGGGGATCCCCTGAGTCACACTGAGAGAGAATGTTCCCCTTCCTGGAGTACATTTGGAAGAGGGTGTATTCTCTCTGCAAAGACAAAACACCCGCTGGGTGCCACTGAGGGCAGATAACCTGGCCTCAGCTTTTCCCTGTGCTTCACCATACACTCCAGACACCTGTGTGGCTGTGCACCTGCTTCCCTGGGACAGAGTGGCGCCAGGTGCAGGTGTGCGCTGCGAGCCTCTTCTCTCGGGGAGGGGAGCAGGTCCGTGCCTTGCTGGGTCCTTTAAGATTTGGAGTTTTGAATCCCAGCCACAGGCCAGAGGTAAAACACAGAACTGTGGTGCTGGGCATGCCAGCAGCCCAGGCACAGACAGGTTGAGGGTAGGGATCTGACGGAAACCTGGGACACAGGAGGGGAGATTATTTACTTTTCTGTGAGGGCCTCCTGAACAGCCATGGCTCGAGTTCCCCTTACCTGGGGATGAGAGGACGGGAAGATGCCATCTTCCATAACATGCAAAAGACAGAAACTTAGACAAAATGACAAGACAGAGGAATTCTCCCCCCAAAAAGACAAGAAGAAATCACAGCCAGGGATTTGCCCAGAACAGATACAAGAAATATACCTGAACAAGAATTTAGGAAAACAGTGTAAGAATCCTAGCTGGGCTTGCAAGAAGCATAAAAGACACCAGAGAAACCCTGGCTGCAGAGATAAAAGACCTAAAAACTAGTAAGGTGAAATAAAAAATGCTATAACTAAGATGCAAAACCGACGGGATGTAATCACAACACGGATGGAAAAAGCAGAGGATCCAATAGGTGATATAGAAGATAAAATTATGGAAAATGAAGCTGAAAAGAAGGAAAGAAAACTCTTAGATCATGAATATAGACTTAGGGAATTCCGCAATTCTACAAAGTGCAATAATACCCATATCCTAGGAGTCCCAGAAGAAGAGTGGGAAAAAGGGGCAGAAGGTTTATTTGAACATATGTATTTGAACATAACTTCCCTAATCTGGGGAAGGAAACAGGCACTCAAGTCCAAGAGACACAGAGAACTCCCCTCAAAATCAACAAAAACAGGTCACCACCAAGACATATAGTGAAACTTGCAAAATATAAAAAGAATGAAATATTGCCATTTGCAATGATGTGGATGGAGCTAGAGATTATTGTGCTAAGCAAAATAAGTCAGAGAAAGACAAATACCATATGATTTCACTCATACGGGGAATTAAAACAAATGCACATGGAAAAAAGAGGCAAACCTTAAAGCAGACTCTTAACTATAGAGAACAAACTAAGGGTTGCTGGAGGGGAGGTGGATAGAGGATGGGCTAAATGGATGATGGGTATTAAGGAGGGCACTGGTTGTGATGAGCACTGGGTGTTGTATGTAGGTGATAAGTCACTGAATTCTACACCTGAAACTGATATTACACTGTATGTTAACTAACTAGAATTTAAATAAAAACTCGAAACTGGAAAAAAAATTCTATTGTTCAGGCGAGTTTTAGGGAGAATGCTTTTCCTTTTTTATATAAAAGCACTTACCTCGAGTAATTTTCCTGACCTCTTCCCTTAATTATTCCTTTATTAGACTCTCCAGGGGGGTGGGAATGACTTCTGTTTGATGGAGTTGGGAGAGAGAACTGGCCCCTCCTGGGTCCTATTTCTTTGGGACCTTCCTGTCTATGGTGAATGATCTTTGTCATAGGCTTTCTGTCACATAGGAAACTTAGCCCCTGCAGGGGGAGGCTTGCAGTTTGGGGGGACAAGTTCAATTCAGGGATATCAGGAATCCACACTACTCTCTTCGACACCATTTCATCAATAATAGAGAAAGTATTTTATTCTATTTATCTGACTCCTGTACCTATTTTTCAGTTAGTTCCTAATTGTGGGCAAAAAAGGGTTGTTATTTATTGGGCCCTTCAAACTCCAAGCAAGTACATAAATAACTACCATATGAGCTGCAGTAACATACGTGGTGTATTAATCTGCAGAGGATAAGCAATGCTGCAGTAACAAATAAGATCCAAAACTCTCAATGACCTAATGCAATGGAAGTTTATTTCTCCCTCATGTCACAGTCCAGTGTGAGATGGCTGGCCTCTTCTGTCTTTTAGCCATGCCATCTGGAATATGTGGCTTCCAGAGTTGCTACAACAGGGGAGGAGGGAAATGGAGGAGGCACACTAGCTCTTAAGCTCTTAGCTTGCCCTGGAATTAATACTCAACACTTCTACTGAAGTTAGACATAACTGTTCACATGGCTCTAAACAAGGGAGGGGCGCCTGGGTGGCTCAGTCGGTTAAGCTTCTGACTCTTGATTTCAGCTCAGGTCATGATCCCAAGGTCATGAGACTGAGCCCCATGTAGGGCTCCACACTGGGCGTGGAGCCTGCTTAGATTCTCTCTCTCCCTCTCCCTCTGCTTCTCCCCCCTCCCTCTCTAAATAAATAAATAAGTAAAAATTAAAAATTAAACAACTGAAGGGAGGCTTGGCAATGTGGAGGAACACATGGATACCTGGTGAGCACAAACTGTGTCTGCTTTAGGTAGGTTCAGAACAATCAGGGAAGGTTCAAAGGAGCAGAGTAGGGAAGAAAGGGGGTTGAGTAATACTCAAAGCATATTTTGCCTATTTCATAGCTTTCTCAAAGCCAAATACTCTGTCTGAAATTTATCTATGCATCTCTTCAGAGTCTAGTGCCATCAGGCCATTTACAAATTAACTTAATATGAGAATTGAGAATTTTTCCCATGAAGTGTGCATTTTATCTGGGGTCTTCTGGAGATAATAAGCTCTTGGTTTTATTGCATATTTATTGTCTTTGTTTCACTATGTTCTATATTATTCATGACTTTAGGAATGAGAATTTGGGGTCCACAATATTTTTGAATACTGTGAGCTTTCAGTACTCTTCAAATCACATCAAGTAGGACTTTGGGTTTTTCCCCTCAAGATGGGATTTGTTTGAGTAGGAGTTATCTAATATAACCATATTTAAATATGGCTAAGCATTCTCTCTGAATTAATCAGTTGGTATTTGTTAGTTTTTTTTCTAGGAAGAGAATCCAAGATCTTTCTAGGCCTAAAAGACAATGGGGAACCCCAGATAGGTAAGGCAACATTACAGTCTTGTTTGTGAGGATTGTGTTAAATTAAATAGGTAAGTAAGATTCTTACTTGCCCACTGACCTTGCATCCCAGGTTTATCCACTCTGTGGTCAACTGAATCCACTGAACCAATATTGTCCCCTCAGTTAAGTCAACACATGAAAGGCTAATCCTAAGTCAGTAGTTTTCAAATTAATCTGTAAATGGAATCACCTGGGCACCTATTAAAACACTGATACCTGGGCCCCATCCCCAGAAATCCTGATTTACTTGGTCTAGAGTGCAGCCTAGGCTTTGGGAGTGTTAGAAGCCCCCAGATGATTCTAATAAGCAGACGGGTTTGAAAACCACTTCGAAGCTCTTGTGTCCATCCTTCAGGTTCACCTTTGCTGCTGCTAACTTACTGTCTGTAAGCCTCTGCTTAGAGCAAACTTGTTCTCTGGGTCTCCAGCCAGTAGGACCCACTGACCTCCCATCCTTCACCATACCTTTTCTTCTTTGGCTCCTGAGTAAAGCCTTAATTTTGTCCCTTTTTTCTGATATCCTATTGCTTAAAAAAAATAATAATACACTTTATTTGTAAAGCAATTTTAGGTTTACAGAAAAATTGACCAGAAATACAGAGTTCCTGTATTACTACCACTCCTCTTGTTTCTCCCATTATTAACATCTTGTGTTTGTGTGGTACATTTATTATAATTGATGAAGAAATACTGACCCATTATTCACTAAAGTCTGTAGTTTACATTAGGGTTCACTTTTTGTGTTGTACACTTCTATAGATTTTGATAGATGCATGTCATGTATTCACCATTACAATATATATTTTAAAGATTTTATTTATTTATTACAGAGAGAGAGCATGGGGGCGGAGGGCTCAGAGGGAGAAGCAGACTCCCCGATGAGCAGAGAGCCCAATGCGGGACTCGATCCCAGGACCCTGGGATCATGACCTGAGCCAAAGGTGGACGCTTAATCGACTGAGCCACCCAGGCGCCCTCACCATTACAGTATTATGTAAAATAGTTTCCTTGCCCTAAAAATTACCTGTGCTCTACCTATTCATCCTTTTCCCTCTGTGCTCCCTTCTCCAAAACCCTCGCAACCACCAATCTTTTTACTATATCTATAGTTTTGCCTTTTCAAGAATGTCATATAGTTAAAATGATACAGTATATAACCTTTTTATATTGGTTTCTTTCACTTAGTAATATACATTTAAGGTTCTTCCATGTCTTTTCATTGCTTAGTAGCTCATTTCTTTTTAGCACTGACAAATATTCCATTGTCTGGTTGTACCATAGTTTGCTTATCCAGTCATCTATTGAAGGATATATTGTTTGCTTCCGATTTTTGGCAATTATGAATAAAGATGCTATAAACATTGATGCGCAGGTTTTCATGTAGATAAAAGTTTTTAATTCATTTGGGTAAACACCTAGGAATGCAATTTCTGGATTATATGGTAAGAATATGTTTAGCTTTGTAAGAAATTGCTAAACATCTTCTAAAGTGTCTAGCAATCCCACCATCAATGGATAAAATAGTTCCTGTTGTTCTACATCCCCACCAGCATTTGGTGTTTTGTATTTTAGCCATTCTAAAGGTGTATAGTGGTATCTCTCTCATTGTTTTAATTTGTAATTCTCTAATGACCTGATGCTGAGCATATTTCATATGCTGATTTACCATCTGCATATTTTCTTTGGTGAAGTGTGTGTTCAACACTTTTGTTCACTTTTTAATTGGGTGTTTGTTTTCTTATTGTTGAAATGTAAGTGTTCTTTGTATATTTTGAATACCAATCTTTTATCAGATGCTATAGACTGAATGTTTATGTTCCCCTAAAATTTATAAATTGAAAACCTAATCCCCAATGTGATGGTATTAGGAGGTAAGGCCTTTGGGAGGTATTAAATCATGAGGATGGAACACCCGTGAATGGGATTAATGTCCTTATGAAAGAGACCTCAGAGAACTCCCTTGCTCCTTCAGCAATTTGGGAACACAGAAGAAGATGCCTGACTATGAACCAGAGAGCAGGTCCTCACCAGGCACTGAATCTGCTGATGCTTTGATCTTGGACTTCCAAACTCCTAGAATTGTGAGAAATTTCTGTTGTATATAAGCCCCCCATCTATGTTATTGGTATTGTAACCTGAATTGCAGGTTACAATATTGTAAGATTGTCAAACATCAAATATGTGTCTTGCAAGTATTTTTTCCTAGTCGGTGGCTCATCTTTTCATTCTCTTAGCAGTGTCTTTTGCAGAGCAAAAGTTTTTAATCTGAATGAGGTTCAACTTATCAATTTTTCTCTTTCATGGATCATGCTTTGGTCATATTTAAAAATGAATTGCTAAATCTAAGGTCACCTAGATTTTCTCTTACGTTACTTTCTAGAAGTTTTATAGTTTTGTATTTCACATTTAGGTCTATGATACATTTCAAGTTAATTTTTGTGAAAGATGTCTCTAGATGTACTTTTTGCATGTGGGTGTCCAGTTTTCTGACACCATTTGTTGAAAAGACTATCCTTTCTCTGTTGGATAACCTTCAATCCTTTGTCAAAGATCAGCTGACTGTATTTGTGTGGATGATTTCTAGGATCTATATTTTCCCATTGATCTATTGGTCTATTCTTTCAGTAATACTACTGTCTGATTTACTATAGTGTTACAGTAAGTCTTGAAGTCAGCTAGTGGCAGTCCTCTGATTTTGTTCTTCTTTTTCAATATTGTGTTGTCTATTCTGGATCTTTTGCCTCTCCACACAAATTTTAGAATCAGTTTGTGAATGAATATCCACAAAGTAACTTGTTGGGATTTTGATTGAGATTGCACTGGATATGTAGATCAAGTTGGAAAGAACTGACATCATAACAGTTATTGGCTCTTTGTATCTATGAACATGGACTGTCTCTCCATTTATTTAGTTCTACCTTGATTTCTTTCACCAGAGTTTTGTAGTTTTTTTAATAGAGATCTTATACTTATGTTGTTAGATTTACACCTATGTATTTACATTTTTTTGGTGCTAATGTAAATAGTGTTCTGTTTTTAATTTCAAATTCCCATTGTTCATTGCTGGTGTATAAGAAATCAGTAGAATTTGAATATTAAGTTATATCCTGCAACTTTGCTATAACCTAAAAGTTTATTTTTTAAAAGGCTTGTTTTTAAACATAAATAATATAATATGCTTTAAATTCTCTTTTTCATGGATGGGTACATACACATATACATTGATGAGAGGTATGCATTGATAAGAGATGTGTTAGTGAAAATCGCTAGAACTGTCAGTAATCTTAGAACACTCCTCTCCAACCTACTCCTATTTGAAACCATTAGAAAGTTTGAAGGAGTGATTTGATTAGGCAGTTGAGCTCAAAAAAGTTAATTGCAGGTACCAAAACTGGGATTTGAATCTATGTTCATTGCACACAAAGCCCATTTACCTACATTATATCACAATGGCTGTTTTAGAAAGGCATGGTCCCTTTGATAGCATAGAGCATTAGAGTCAGGAAGATTGATTTGGGGCTATTACGAAAATACAGGAGAGAAATAATGAGGGTTTGTCCTAAGAGAGTGGCTTTAAGGGTTACAAGAAAGGTTAGAGTCAAGATAGAGATGGATAGGACTTAGTGACAAATGAAGAACCTGAAGGAGAGGAGGAATCAAATATGATTTCTAGGTTTCTGTTTTTAGAAATAAAGTGGAAAACATTATTGTAACTGCAAAAGGAAATATAAGAGGGGGACAGGTTTGGGAGGAAGGTACAGGTTTGTCATGTGGGATGCTTTTGAGACATCCAGTAAGCATTTGGAAATAAATATTTAACACTCAGGAGAATGCTTGAGAATTCTTGGAGATACTATTTTGGAAACATCAGTATTTAGTGATACTTTTTTTTTTATGATTTGTTGTTAATTTATTTTAAAGAGAAAGAGAGCATGGGAGGGAGGGGCCAAGGGAGAGGGAGAGAGAGAATCCCAAGCAGACTCCCCACCGAGTGTGGAGCCCAGCGCAGGGCTCTATCCCATGACCATGAGATCATGACCTAAGCCAAAGTCAAGAATCAGACACTTAACCCACTGAGCCACCCAGGCACACTTTTAATTTTTAAAAATTTTTTTAAAAATAGTGAGGAAGAGGGAACCTTGGGGCACATGCCATTGTTTACGTTGCAAAAGAGACACTTCCTAAGGAAATTGAGAAGGAGTAGGCAAGAGAGAATTAGAAGAAGACAGATGTTAGCTGAACCTGTTGTGGTAATCATTTCACAATATATGTAAATCAAACCATCATGCTGTGTGTCTTAATCTTATACAGTGATGTATGCCAATTATTTCTCAATAAAACTGGAAAAGAGGTGGGGGAAGGAAGGGGGGGAGAGAAAGAGAGTGTGAGTGGGAGAGAGAACCAGGAAAGAGAGGGCCTCAAAAACCAAGGAAGAAAATTATTAAAAGAAAAATGGTGGGGTGCCTGGGTGGCGCAGTTGGTTGAGTGTCTGACTCTTGGTTTTGGCTCAGGTCATGATCTGGTGGTTGTGGGATTGAGCCCTGGGTAGGGCTCTGTACTTAGTGCGGAGTCTGCTTCAGATTCTTTCTCCCTCTCCCACACCTCTGCCCCTCCCTGCTCGCACACGTGTGTGTGCTGTCCCTAAAATGAATAAATAAAATCTTTAAAAAAAAGAAAAATGGAGCCATGAGGATACATTCAAATAATTTGTGGTTGGCCAGACTGACAAAGAAAGATTAAAGACTGTCTCATAAATCTTCAAGTACATAGAGCAGTTTATAGAGATGAAAACTAAATAAATACTTGTTATAACAGGAGAGGGTGTAAGAATTTCAGAACAATAACACTCTGGAGATAGACTAATGAAAGCTGTTTTGTGTTTTCTGACTCTGGAAATAATGTAAGACTAGAGATTTAGCTGTTCAGAAAAGGATGACTGAACACATTACTCTCAAGAACCCTTCTAGGTCCCTTATTCTAGAATTCTAGGGGTGTGATTGTGTCAGATATTGTTATATCTCATGGATCCATCAAACAGGTACAATATGGATAAGAACCCTATGCTCTGAGGTCAAGTCCTCATTATGGACTGTAAAAGATTAAACATTTATTTCCCTGATATTGTTAGCTATGTAACAGCTAAACATAGGTGATTTTTAAATGCTGTCAGAGTGGAGTGAAGAGTCATCTGCATAATATGTTGCTTTGACATGTCAGTTAGTCTCCCCACTTTCTGATGAACATTACATCCACATTTTTCTCAACTGTATAGTCTCTGCTCTTTCTCAGCCCACTGAGCCTTCCCTTCTAGCTTACTTTGGGCTGGCTCTCCTGCCTTTTACATAATTCTCAATACTTTTCCTTCATACTATGTGTTTTCTAGTTTTTATGGCCAAAATTTTCTTTTTAAAAAAAATATTTATCTGAGAGAGAGAGAGAGAGAGCATGAAAGAGAAAGAGATCATGAGCAGGGGGAGGGGTAGAGGGAGAAGCAGACTGCCCACTGAGAAGAGAGCCTGATGTGGAGCTCCATCCCAGGACCCTGGGATCATACCTGAGCTGAAGGCAGACACTTAACCAACTGAGCCACCCAGGTGCCCTGTGGACAAAATTTTCAAGCAGATAATGATCTCATGAAGGTTCAGTACCTAGAAATCATCATCAGGACCATATATTATGTACTGACATAATTGCCGTGTCTAAAGTACCTTTTGCTTTGAATTTGAAGCAATGAATACAAAACCAATATACACAGTTGAACATTGAACAACACAGGGTTGAACTGCACAGGTCCACTTATACCCAGATATTTTTTTTTCAATAAATACAGTACAGTAATTAAAAGTATTTTCTCTTCCTTATGATTTTCTTTATAACATTTTTTTGCTCTAGGTTATTTTATTATAAGAATACTGCATAGAATACATAAACAAAATATGTGTTCATTGGCTGTTTATGTTATCAGTAAGGCTTCTGGTCAACAGTAGGTTATTAGTAGTTAAGTTTTGCGGGGGTCAGAAGTTATATGCAGATTTTCAACTGTATGGGGTCAGTGCCCCTAACCCTTCATTGTTCAAGGGTCAACTGTATATATGTCACCTCTGCTTCCTAATCCCTGATTCCCTTAGCCTTTCTCCATCAGAGCTTTGATATTTATCCCTTAGATGCTCTTCACTTTTTCTATTACCACTGATATTTTCCTGGCCAAGTACCATTGTCTTTTGTTTTGTTTTAGTTTCCATTCTTGATGTCTAAGTTGTATTTGATGCTTTCTGATATATTCGATGCATCTTGTCTTGAAATCTTCCTCTCCCATTCCATGATGCTTTTACCTCTATCCACCAGTCTTCTCTTTTGGAAACAGAGTTACTCTCTTCCCCAATGTCACTCCCACTCTGGCCCTCATCACCTGAGGCCCTGATTTCTGCTGTAGCCTCTTCTCCCTGTGGTCATTCTCTCCTCTCTACTCTGTTTTACATCACCCTCAGGTGAGTCCCCAGTTTTCACCATTCTTTCATTCATCAGACTGTGATGGAACACTTGTCATGTACAGCACTAAATTATCCTAGGGGGAAATCTCCAAAAGATTAAGTCATGCTCCTTCCCTTTGGATGAACTTATAGGCTGGAGTGGCAGGTGCTCTTTGTCAAAATTGTGGAGGACCTTGTAAGCCACAGTAAGGAGTTGGGAGTCCAGTGTAAAGCCAAGGGGGTGTCTTGATCAGATTGGGGTTTAGAAAGATCACTCTGGCAGTGATAGGGGTGATGGGATCTGGACAAGGAAAGTAGCAACAGGGATAAGGAGAAATGGACAGATTTAAGCCATATTTAGGAAATGGAATCAGCAGAATGTAGGGGATGGGAATATTAATTCATTCATTAATATTTCTAATAGTGACTCTGGCTGATGCTTACAAAGTAGAGAAATAAACATTGTATAAAAAAATATAGATAAGGTTAAAAAAAACCAGGGCCTTTTAAATAGTTAAGCTCAATTAAGTGGCAATTTCAGTTATATGCAAAGTTAGGTTACCGAGGTACTTTCTTTTGACTCCTTCTGCCTTCCCTCCCCATTGTAGCAATGTTAGTTAATTATTTACCGACATGTCCCTGACCAAACATGCCTTGACCCATACTTGATTATTCCCATTTCTCACGGTTACCCCAACATGGAATGTGCCTCATTTCTGGCAGTCTGTGCCTTTCACTTTCTTCCATGAAGCCTTTTCAGGTGAATCCCTTACTGATTCTCCTTTTCTCTTCACCCTCTGCTCAGGAATCATGCCTATTGTACAGACTAAAAGATCTGATGTCAGTGAACACTTAGCCCACTGCCTGGCCCACAGTATTTCACAAATGGGAGCTACTAATATTACCCTGATACTGTTTTATTTTCTGACCCCCTGGTATAGGGCTTCACGCATAGCGGGAACTCAGTGTTGGGTAGATGGCATGCCCATTTTACGTTGATCTGATTATAAATTACAGTGTTAATTATACAATGGCAGAAACAGAACTCTTTCAGAAAACAGGTTCATTTTTGGTCACCATGTTTTAGGACAGTAGGTGAAACAATCTTCTTTTAACTGCATAAGTAGTTGATCTGTTTCTGATGACTGGAAATTGTTAAATTCTGTAATAGAGATAGTTCTGGAAGTGAAGGAAAATCAGTATGGAACCCATCAAGAGCCATTTCTAAGATGTCCATTAGTAGTGAATTCCTTACCATTTGGTTTTTCTGCTTTTTAACAGAAAACTGTTTTGGGGGAATCAAGATCCTATTTGCCCTATTGCCCGGATTGCTTTGAAAGCTCAGCTGACCAAAAGACTGGAGGACCTTGCCCATCCCAAAGAAGTCTCCCACCGATATGTACCTAACAGGTTAGTGTTTGTGTGTTATCAGGTTACTTTATCAGGAGTCCCTAGGGAAAATGAACACAGAACCCAGCCCTTTTATCTGAAAGCCATAAATTGTCCAATCTGTAGTAAAAAAATTGTTGAGGATTAAAGATTCTATATATTTCCTTATCTGATGCTACAGTAAAACTTTTCTAGCACAAGACTAATATTTAGCTATTGCTAACTTGTATTATATCTTATAATGTTTTGGCTTACTAGGATTTTGAGGGTTTTTTTTTTTAAGATTTTATTTATTTATTAGAGAGAGAGAGAGCAAGTGGGGGGAGGGGTAGAGGGAGAGGGAGAGAGAGAATCTCAGGTAGACTCATGCTGAGCACAGAGCCCCACGTGGGACTCGATCCCATGGCCCGAGATCATGACTGGAGCCAAAATCAAGAGTTGGCCACTCAAGCCCCAGTCACCCAGGTGCCCCTTGAGTTTTTAATAAAGTGGCAGTATCATGCTGGGATATGTACCATCTATAACATTGTTGTGCATGAACTATTTATGCATGCAACTTCTCGTGGATTTTGTATACCACCACGGGCTTAATTACCATGAGTTAATTATTACATGTAGAGGTAAGAATATCGTTAAGACTTTTGATACCGATTGCCAATTTGCTTTTAGTGCATGTTTGTTGAATGACTAGACTTTCTGCTGGTTGGTTCTTTGAGGAAAGACTGTGGAGGGGGGAGGGGATGAGCACAAGTAGTGAGGGAGGTTAAAGTAACAGGAAAAAGGTGAAGATACCATTATTTATCTGAAGTTTGGTTTCCAAGATAATTGAGGTAGCCATTTCTCTATCTCTTTTCGATATACACTTTAGTCAAAAGTCAGCAAACTTTTTCAGGAAGTGGGTAGATAGTAAAGTTGACTACAAAGTCTCCATTGCAACTACCCAACTCCACTGTTGTAGCAGGAAGCAGCCACAGACGTTATGAAAACTGAGCATGCCTGTGTTCCAATAAAACTAAACTTTTTGCATCTGTGCTTATGAGGTGTATTAGTCTGGATTTTTCTTATAGTGTCTTTGTGGTAATGTCTTTGTTTCTTGTAATGTCTTTACTTGTTTTTGGTAATTCTGTCCTCACAGAATCAATTGGAAAATATATAGAATTGGCATTTCTTGTTTATGTATTTCATAGAATCCACAATGAAGTCATTTTGGGTCTGGAGTTTTTTGGTGGGAAGATTTTTAAGAAATTTTTTATTTAAATTCAATTTTATGTATATGTTTATACTGTATTGTTAGTTTCAGAGGTGGAACTTAGTGATTCATCAGTTACATATAACACCCAGTGCTCATTACATCACGTGCCCTCCTTAATGCCCATCACCCAGTTACCCCATCTCCCCTCCAGCAACCCTCAGTTTGTTTCCTAGAGTTAAGTTTCTTACGGTTTGCCTCCCTCTCTGTTTTCCTTTTATTGTATTTTTCCTTCCCTTCCCCTATGTTCATTTGTTTTGTTTCTTAAATTCCACACATGGGTGAAATGATATGGTATTTGCCTTTCTGTGACTGACTTATTTCACTTAGCATAATACCCTCTAGTTCAGGTTTTTAACTATAAATTCAATTTATTTAATAGATATAGGGCTGTTATGAATTTGTCAAAATAACGCTTGTTAAGGGGAGCATGGGGTCACAGTTCAACAATAGACCATAACAGAAATTGAAATAGAGAAGTTTTTTACTCACAGATCCTAGAAGTACCTGGTATGCCTTGAGGAGTCACACGTGGAGGTTAAAGCATGGTGCAGAGAGAGGCAGGACCTGGGGCACATGCCTTATTAGGGTCTGCAGGTGAAGTGCTTTGGGGTTCCTAGGCCAAGACCAGATTGGTCAATTCAAATAAAAGAGCAGAGTTTTGGTAAGCTTCTTGGGACTTATATCTAAAGGATGCATAAAGAAAGGAAGGCATTGGGAGTCAGGAGACTGTTGGTCACAGGGCTATTGGCAAAGTCATATCAGGAATGTACATTTACTTATGACTTGGTGGACTGGTATCTAGGGCATGTGCTTATGAGATGGGGGCCAAGGTCAGTTTAAGGCCCCCGGAGGCTGCTTGGTCAAACAAAATGGGTGCTGCGGCAGCAAGACCATGGAATTGCTTTGTAAACTCTTGACAAGGGCTCTTCATATTATATCTTTCTGAATGAGCATCGGTAGTATGTGTCTTCCAAAGAATTTATGTATTTCACCTAAGTTTTAAAATTTGTTGGCATAAACTTGTTAATATAGCCTTTTATTTTCCTTTTATTATCTGTGCAATCTCTAGTGATTGTCTCTGAGAGACTAAGAAGGTATTTGGTTTTAAAAGAAGCAAATTTTCTCTTTTATTTTTTGGTCTATTTAAAAGAACGCAATTTATTACAGAAAATTAATCTGTTTTGGAATGGGATATTAAAAGCCAGCTGGAACTTGATGGCTGCAACCATTTCTGATGTCTCTCCATGTGGAGAATAGCTCACAGTAAAGGGGTAAACTATCATACCTGCTCCTAGGCCTAGAGTTGGGGGTCAGCGTTGGAAATTACTGTTATTGGAATTCATGCTCATTTCACTCAGTTTTTTTCTCTTCTGTAACTTCCAGGGCTCAGTATTACTACAGCTGTGGTAGAGAGTCTGTTATCTGGGAGATCCCTTCTCCTGCACTGTTTAGCCAACCCTCCAAAAGGATCCAGAAGCTGGCACTGCCCAACAGATTGAAGAAAGAATATCTAATAAAGAGGTAGAGTACTACGATAATCTCCATAAATCCTAATTTCATTAAACCTCACAATATTTTTCTTATTATAGTGTATGTAGTTTCATAAACTAAAAGTTCACTTGTGTTTCAAAGGATCAGGGTAAAAACTCAAATGTATGCGGCAATTGTAGGTAATCAGAGGGTCATCACCAGTAATTACATTAGTGGGGTTTTTTGTTTGTTTTTTGAGAGAGAGAGAGACAGCATGCATGAGCAGGTTGGGGCAGGGCAGAGGGAGAGAGAATGTCAAGTAGGCTCCATGCCCAGCATGGAGCCTGACTTGGGGCTCAGTCTCACGACCCTGAGATCACGACCTGAGCTGAAATCAAGAGTCAGACACTTAACCAAATGAGCCACCCAGGTGCCCCACCAGTAATTACATTTGATTCAAATTGTGGTGAAACTAAAATTCACTCTGAACTTACCATTGTCAGCCAATTCAAAGGAAATATGCAAATGAAACATTACATATGCAACATTACATATGAAACATATGCAAATGAAACAAATTTTTGCAGTTTGTAGAACTTGATGTTTCTCTTTTGTTTCTATGACTTTTCAAATGTTTTTCCTTTTGCTTTGAATGCTGAATTTCTCCTTGTCTTTAAAAGACAGCTGAGGTGATACTTCCACATGGGAGCTAAGATTGTGAGGGGGTTGTTGGAAAAATGTTAAGTCGATTAATGGAGTATGTATCGTGAACCCAGGGAGATGATAGTACCACTGTATAGTACTTTAGTCAAGACACCTTAAGTGTATGTGTCTACTTATGGATGTTATACCCTAGGAAACTGATAATAAACTTGAGACTATTCAGAAGGAGCTGAATGAAGTGTTGAGGCCTCTGGAAACTATGTTACGTGAAAAATAGTTGAGAGAAATGACATGCTTAGCCTAGAGAAAGACCAAGGAAGCAGTGATAGCTGTGCTCAGATATTGAAAGGGTCAGCGTCTGAACGAGGAAAAGGAGGAAAAGTAAAATTACTTTGTGTTGATCCTAGAACTAGGTCTAGAACAAGGAATTTACAGAGCAGCAGGCATCAGCTAGGTGTAGGAAAATCGTGCTGACTAGCTCTCCAGTACTGGAAATGTTTGTCTGGAAAAGTCAACTGCCGCCTCCACCCCAATCCCTGAAAATGCTTATTCAAGCACAGGCTGGAATGGTGAGTTTACATGGATTTTAGAAAAGATTCCTGCTTTCAGAGAGAAATTGAACTGGACCGCTTCGGTCTTTTTCCATCACAGACTCCACATAAAATTTGTTTGCTTATTTATCAGTTCATTCAACAAAATCTGCTAATTTAGTTAAAATGTACATATAACCTGATAGTTATATAACTGTATTCATTTATTTTATATTTTTTTATATATCTGTATTTATAATCTAGAGGAATGCTTTGTTAATATGTCACCACTTTTTAAAATTAATTTATTTTTTAAATTTAAATTCAGTTAATTCACATATAATGTGTTATTGGTCTCAGAGGTAGAGGTCAGTGATTCATCAGTCTTATATAACACCCAGTGCTCATTCTATCACGTGCCCTCCTTAATGCCTATCACCCAGTTACCCTGTCCCCCCACCCACCTCCCCTCCAGCAACCCTCAGTTTGTTTCCTATAGTTAAGAGTCTCTTATGGTTTGTCTCCCTCTCTGATTTCGTCTTGTTTTATTTTTCCCTCCCTTCCCCTATGATCCTCTGTTTTGTTTCTTAAATTCCACATATGAGTGAGATCATATGATAATTGTCTTTCTCTGATTGACTTATTTCGCTCAGCATAATACCCTCTAGTTCCATCCATGCCATTGTAAATGGCAAGATTTCAGTTTTTTGATGGCTGAGTAGTATTCCACTGCATATATAAACCACATCATCTTTATCCATTCATCTGCTGATGGACAACATCTGGGCTTTTTCCGTAGTTTGGCTGTTGTGGACATTGCTGCTGTAAACATTGGGGTGCAGGTGCCCCTTCGGATCACAACTTAAACTTTGGGATAAATACCCAGTAGTAATATGTCACCACTTTTTGAGAGACCTGAGTTTGATGTTTCATATAGGTGAAACCCCCTTGAATGTTAAAACTTTCTGTATTTTTAAGTTGTTTCCCTGCTTTCCTAAGCAGACTTCTCAGCTATTAAACATACATGTAACCTTTGTTCATTGGCTTGAATCTTTATTATGAACATCAACTCTTATACTTCAATACTGAAAACCTCCCAGGAGCTGTTTAAGTATGAAGCACAGTTTTTCTTTAGGCTAAGTATTCTGACTTCTATGCTTTTAGATTATTAAATATTTGCTTATAGTTTTCCTGTCTTTTTTTTTTTTTTGGTCAGGGGAATGGTCTCTAGGCTCTTTTTTTAAAATTTAATTTAATTTCAATTCCAGTGTAGTTAGTATACAGTGTTATATAAGTTTCAGGTATACAATATAGTGATTCAGCAGTTTAATACATTACTCATTATTCATCAAGATAAGTGTACTCTTAATCCCCTTTGCCTGTTTCACCCATCCCCCACCCACCTCCTCTCTGGTAACCATCAGTTTGTTCTCTATAGAGTTAAACGTTTCTTGGTTTGCCTCTCTCTCGTTTTGTTTTGTTTTTTTTTACTTTATCCTTTGTTTTGTTTCTAAAACTCTACATACGGGAGAAGTCATATGGTATTTGTCTTTCTCTGACTGGTTTATTTCACTTAGCATTATACTCTCTAGATCTATCCATGTTGTTGCAAGTGGCAAGATTTCATTCTTTTTTATGACTGAATAATATTCATTGTGCACATATACCACATCTTCTTTATCCATTCATATACTGATGGACACTTGGCTGCTTCCATAATTTTAACTAGCCTCTTTTTTCCCAATTCTGTGCATTAGGAACAGATAACTAAGCTTGTTAGAATTGTGTGAGGGGGGAAAAAAGCAAGTGTTTAATGAAGACACACAGGGCTCTCCAATAAATGTATTATATGAACTCGGACTTTGTGTCATATATTTTAGCTGATTCACTAGAGGAGCTAAACAGCAGACTTGAATAGTCAGAAGAAAGAATCAGCAAACTTAAGAATAGGTTAATTGAGGCTATCTGAGGAACAGAAGGAAGAAAGAATGAAATAAAATTAACAAAGCCTCATGAACAAGTTGAATTTATCCCAGAAATACAAGAGTATGTTGGAATCAATAGATTACAATCAATATAATACATCAAATTAATAGAATAAGAAAACCAAAATCATGTGGTCACTTCAGTAGACTCAGAAAAATCATTTGACAAAATTCAACACACTTTCACAATAAAAATTCTTAACAAACTAGGTACAGAAGGGAATTTCCTCAGCCTGATAAAGGGCATCTACAAAAAACCCACTGCTAACATAATAATTAATGGTGAAAGACTGAATGGTTTCTCCCTAGGATCAGGAATAAGACAAGGATGTCAGCTCTCCCAACTTTTGTTCAGCATCATACTGGAGATTCTAGTTAGGGCAATTAAGCAAGGAAAAGAAGTAAAAGGCATTCAGGTTGGAAAGGAAAAAGTAAAACTATGTCTATTAGGAAGGCACAGAATCCAAGAGCAATATACAAAAAACAATTGTATATCCATTAGCAATGAGCAATCTGAAAATGAAGGTAGGAAAACAATTCTATTTGCAGTAGCACCAAAAAGAACATTATAATACATGTAATGCCATATTATTCAGCCCTTAAAAGGAAGAAAATTCTGACACATGCTCCAACATGGATGGACCATGATGACATTAAGCTAAATGAAATAAGCCAGTCACAAAAAGACAAATACTGTATAATTGCATTTATATGTGGTACCAACTGTAGTCCAATTTGTAAAGAAAAAAGTAGTATGATGGCTGGCTGGGACTAGAGGGTGGGGGAAATTAATTGTTTAATTGCTGTAGAATTTCACAAGATCAAGAGTTCTGCAGATGGGTTATACGACAGTGTGAATGCTCTTAACACTACTGTACTATACACTTAAGAATGGGTAAGATGAGGGTGTCTTGGTGGCTGAGTCGGTTAAGCACCCAACTGTTGATTTCCGCTCAGATCATGATCTCATGGGTCGTAAGATTGAGTCCTGTATTGGGCTCCATGCTCAGTGGGGAGTCTGTTTGAAGATTCTCTCCCTCTGCCCCCTCCTACTTGTGCTCTCTCTCTCTTTCTCTCAAATAAATAAATAAATCTTAAAAAAAGAATGGCTAAGATGGTAAATTTTATATGTATTTTACTAAAATTAAAAATAATAAAAGAACAAAATACTTAACAAAAGAAGTTCAAGGCATGAACACTGAAGACTACAAACATTGTTAAAAGAAATCGAAGACTTAAATAAATGGAAAGATATTTCCTGTTCATGGATTGGAAGTCTTAATTTTGTTATGATGGTAACTCTCCAGATTGATCTACATATTCAGTGCAATCCCTATTGATAACCGGCTGCAATTTTTGGTATAAATTGACGAGGCAATTCTAAAATTCATATAGAAAAGCAAGGGACCTAGCATAGCGAGAAACAATCTTGATAAAAACATATTGAAAATGTACTTATTTATTTTTAAAAATTTTTTATTTATTTATTAGAGAGAGAGCATGAGTGGGGGGGGCAGAGGGAGAGAGAGAAGCAGACTCCCTACTGAGCACGGAGCCCAATGTGGGGTGCTGTCCCCGGACCCTGGGATCATGACCTAAGCCAAAGGCAGACGCTCAACCAACTGAGCCACCCAGGTGCCCCTGAAAACTTATTTAAAAGCTACAGTAATCAAGACAGCATGATACTGGCATAACAATAGACATATAAATCTATGGAACAGAACTGAGAGTCCAGAAGTTAATCCTTATATTTATGGTCAATTTATTTTTGACAAGAATGCCAAGACTATTTATTTATTTATTTATTTATTTATTTAATTTTTTAAAAGATTTTATTTATTTATTTGACAGAGAGAGACAGTGAGAGAGGGAACACAAGCAGGGGGAGTGGGAGAGGGGAGAAGCAGGCTTCCCGCTGAGCAGGGAGCCTGATGCGGGTCTCGATCCCAGGACCCTGGGATCATGACCTGAGCTGAAGGCAGATGCTTAATGACTGAGCCACCCAGGAGCCCCACCAAGACAATTTAATTGGGGAAAAATAGTCTTTTAAACAAATAGTGCTGGGATAATTGGACATCCAAATGAAATTGAACCCCTACTTCACATCAGACAGAAAAATTCATTTAAAATGGATCACAGGCTGGCTCCGTCAGAAGAGCATGTGACTCTTTATCTCGGGGTTGTGAGTTTGAGTCCTGCATTGAGTGTGGAGATTACTGAAAAATAAAAAAATCTTAGGGGTGCCTGGGTAGCTCAGTCAGTTCAGTGTCAGACTCTTGATCTCAGCTCAGGTCTTGATCTCAGGTGGGCATGGAGCCTACTTAAAAAAAAATAATAATAATAAAATAAAAAATTTAAAAATCTTAAAAAAATAAAATGGATCACAGACCTATAAATATAAGAGATAAAATTATAAAAACCCTTAGAAAAACACAGACATCAGTCTCTGTGACTTAGGCAATGGTTTCTTAGATATGACAACAAAAACACATGACAAAAAATAAATTGGATTTCATCAAAAGTAAAAACTTTTGTGCATCAAAGGACACTATCAAGAAAGTAAAAAGATAACCCACAAATTGGGAGAAAATATTTGAAAATCATATATCTGATAAGGGACTAGTATTCAGAGTATATATATATATAATTTTTAGAACTATACAAAAAAAGTCAACACAATTTAGAAAATGGGCAAATTATTTGAATAGACATTTCTCCAAAGAAGACATACAGATGAACAGGAAACACATACGAAGATGCCAAATATCATTAGTCGTCTTCGAAATACACATTAAAATGACAAGATACTACTTTAAACCTTCTAGAATGGCAATAATAATAATAATTAATAGAAAATAATATGTATTGGTGAGGATGTGGAGAAACTGAAACCCTCCTACATTGCTGGTTAGAATGCAAAATGGTGCAGCTTAATTGGAAAACCACTTTCTAGCTCCTCAAAATGTTAAGAATACAGTTATATGATCAGCATTCTATTTCTAGGCATGTACCCAAGAGAACTAAAAGTTTATGCTCACACAAAAACTTGTACATGAATATTCATAGCAGCGTTTCATAATTGCCAGAAAGTGGAAACAACTCGAATATTTATCATGGATGAATGGTTAAACAAAATGTGGTAAATCATTTAATGGAATATTATTCAGCCATAAAAAAGAATGATGTACTGCTACATGAATCTTGAAAATATGCTAAGTGAAGGAAGCCAGATACAAAAGGCTACATATTTGTATGATTCCATTTATTTGAAATTTCCAAAATAGGCAAATCCATAGAAATAGAAAATAGATAGTGGTTCTGGGGGCACAGGGTTGGGGAATGAAGTAATGGAGAGGGACTGTTAATCAGTATGGGGTTTCTCTTTGGGATGATGAAAACATTCTGAATTTAGATAGTGACAGTAGTTATATAACTTTGTGAATGAATATGCTAGAAACCCCTGAATTGTACACTTTAAAAAGGTAAACTCTATGGTATGTTAATTGTGTATCAGTTTTAAAAACTAACAGACTACCCCTAGAGGGTAATCATATATTTATTTGTGAAAAACTTTTTTCATATTAGGTTTGTAGGTTTGTGGTTGATAGGTTTTTGTACCAGGAAAGGAATATGTGGGGAACAACCTATGAAAATTGGCCAAGTTGCTGGGAGTTATGAGCAGCACCATCTCAAACTGCACTGCAGAGGAGACTGGCTATCACAGAGGGGTCCTTGGTAGTGACTGGAATTTTTTATCTCAGGAATTTAATATGAGGTTTTGATAGGAAGTAAAGTTTAAACTGCAAGTCTCAACCCATCAGTGGATCATGAAATTGATTCCAGTTTTTTTTTTAATAAAATCAAATGAAATTTTAAAAATCAGAATACCTTGCTCAGGGCAAGCATTGTTTCATAATAATTTTGTTTCAGATACATGTGCACACACACACACACACAGATTTACATATACTGTATCACAATATAACTTCTTACTGTGGATCATAGTAAAAAAAACTTTAGGAAATACCAATCTGGTAGAAAAAAACACTAATGATTATGGGAAAAGAAGTTTCTGAGGTAGGAAAAATTACACATAATTGATCAGAGGTTGAGTACAGCAATGAAAAAATGCAATTATTTTTCCTCCAATGATTATAATATTTCATGTTCCATTTGCATATAGGCCTTACAATGATTACTTAACAAGAGATTCTCTTCAAATCTCTCATCCTTCTGCCCGGATATTACAACTCTCAATAGCCAAAGCCATAAATCCAAACTACGTTCCTCCAAAAAGGGTAAGTCCATCTGAAAGAAACAGTTGCTGATTGATTTTGTTAACAACACGTTTATAACTGTAACATGCTCTCCTCTTATTTCTAGGTATATTTTACTTTTCTCCCTGTTCATTTTCCCCTCTCATCATATGAACTTTTCTGCCTACCTCCTCTATGCCTACTGTGTCACCTAGGATTTGATCAGAGAAGCAGAACAACAATGCAGAATTAGACCGTAAGCAATTATGGAAGCTGATAGAGAAGTCCATGGAAAGCTGTTTTGGCAGTTGGAACTTGGGTCTGGTTATAAATCTAGAAGCAATGACAGATAGTAGGGATAGTTCAGCAGCTACCTGGAAGGTATCTACCTCAGGGGAAACTATTACAGGTTCTTCAGGCAAGGGAACTCTAACCCCTTCAGGCAGGGGAAGTATGGCTGATTGTATTGGTAAGGAAGGTTCAGCAGTACTTAGGGGCTTAAAGTCCCCACCTTTGTTGGAATCTGCCCATATATCCCTATCCCAATTTCCAAGGTCCTATTCCTTCCCAATCATGGCTCTAACTTTAACATGGGAGACCATACAAATTTGATAATTCAGTTTGCACTGTAATTAACCCACTCACAGAATTCGATTGTGAGCTTGGTTTTCAGAATTTTCAGCCCTATGACCATAGAATATAAAGGTTTCTTTTAGGGAAGTTACAGAAACTTTCTGGTCCCTTACCCAGACATTAAGGTGGGAACTTAGAGGCCCGAGCCAGTCATTTCTTAACTCACTTTCTCTAGTGCACTTAGAGACAACCAACTAGGGAAGCCTGGGTTTGCTCGGTTGGCTAAGCATCTTCCTTCAGTTCAGGTCATGATCCCAGGGTCCTGGGATCAAGTCCCACATCGGGCTCCCTGCTCAGTGGAGAGCCTGCTTCTCCATCTACCTGCCGCTCCCCCTGCTTGTGCTCTCTCTCTTTCTCTGACGAATAAATAAATAAATAAATAAAATCTTAAATAAAAAGAAACAACCAACTAATCCCATTATACTTGTTTATTTCACTAAAATAATTTCTGGCAGCAGCTGCTTGGTCACCCAAAGTCTTGCTTTTTATTTTGCCAATGCATGCTATGGACTACCAGTATTTTTTTTTTTTTTAAACTACTGGCAAAAGGATCATTAATACCTTTAAATCCAATCAGCTCAGAAAACAAATTCCAGGTAATCTAGAATCAATACAGAGAACCAGTTCTTAAAGTTGTGATTTGGTTATCTGTTGCTTCCTACCAAACTTAGTGGTGTAAAACAACAAGCATTTTATTACGCTCAAGGATTTTGTGAGTTAGAAATCTCTCAGCTGGGATATCTCTAATGGCTTGGTTGTCTGAAATGGTAGGGGGCTGAAAGTTCCTACACACCTACCGTAGTCAGCTAGGGCTGCTATAACAAAATACCAAAGACTGGGTGGCTTGAAAGACATTTATTTCTCACAGTTCTGGAGACCAAGAAATCCAAGATCAAGGTGCCATCAGATTCTCTTCTTGATGAAGATCCTATTCCTGGTTTGCAGCCAACCACCATCTTGCTGTGTGCTCCACATGACTTCTTCTTTGTGTGTGCACAGAGAAAGAGTTCTTATCTCTCATAAGGACACCAATCCCACTATGAGGGTTCTACCTTCATGACCTCATCTAAACCTAATTACCTCCCAAAGGCCTCACCTCCTACTATTATCACATTGAGGATTAGGACTTCAACGTATGAATTTGAGGGGGACATAAACAGTCTGTCCATAGCAACAGATGTATGTGGTGCGCAGGCTGATGTGACTTAAAGGCTAGACTCAGTTGGGAATATTCACAGGAGCACTTTCATGGGGCCTGAGACTTTTCTCTGCATAGCGACTATATTCTGAGAAGGAATATTCTAAAATGGAGTGTTTCAAGGGTGAGCATTCCAAAACAACCACGTGGCAGCTGCATGTTTTTTTATGATTTGGCCTTGGAAGTCACTATAATGTCACATTCATACTCTGCAGTCATACTCTGTTGATTGATACAGTTCCAAGTCACCGGATTCAAGGAGGCAGGGACACAAACCCCACCTGTCAATGAGAGAAGTGGCAAAGAATTTATAGCCACTCAAGAAAAAAACCTTGGTATCCTTGAGCATTGTTTTGTATGCAGAAAAGACTGTTCAGAGGTATGCTCTTGATTTAAATAATTAATAGTCCATTTTTAAAACTTTAAATTAAAAATCTCTTTCTTAGGCTTTTACGTTTAGCTTGCAAGTTTTATTACACTGTTTATAATTCTAGCAGTCTTTAACAATGACTTCGAAGAGTTCTGAATAATGTTTGATTTGGTTTCTAAATGTTATCAAATACCTTCAAATAATTTAAATTATTTTTATTAATATTTTAATTTGATTTCTTTTTTAAGCATTTTACTTCAACCATCTACATTAACAAACAAAATTTCAAATATTAAATACTATTTAAAAATCAAATATATCAAATTTATAAATATGGTGAACTTAAAGTTTCAATGTTATCAGAATGACATAAACTTAAGATTTCAACTTAATGTTATAATTCTAAGTCAAATACTCAATTATACGTTTTAAGTTGCAGGTGTAGGTGATCACTCTAATAGACCAAATTCTCTTAAACATGGACATGCTTTTATTTTGTTTTGTTTTGTTTTAAAGGTTTTTTTATTTATTCATTCGAGACACAGAGATAGAGAATATGAGCAGGGGGAGAAGCAGGCCCCCTGCTGAGCAGGGAGCCCGATGTGGGGCTCGATCCCAGGACCCTGGGATCATGACCTGAGCCAAAGGCAGACGCTTAACCATCTGAGCCACCCAGGCGCCCCTGTTTTGTTTTGTTTTTAGTAAACTCTACACCCAATGTGGGGCTCAGACTCATGACCCCAAGATCAAGAGTCACATGCTCCACTGACTGAGCTAGCCAGGCGCCCTCATGCACATGCTTTTAACTTTAATAATATACACATATTTTTTATTTTAATAATTTCTAAGTTACTAAAAAAATGCAAGAAGTAACATTTTGTTCCATTTGTTTTTTCATTCTCTCTCCTCCATGTAGGGTGTGTGTATGTGTGTGTGTGTGTGTGTATTTAATTTTTTTCCTGAATCATTTTTGAGAGGTACAGACATCATACACCCATTTTCCTAAATACTTCAGTGTGTATTTCTTAAGAACAAGATCATCATCTTATGTAACCACAGAATTATTATCAAAATCAGGAAGTTTAATTGATAAATACTCCATGGTCCATGTCCAAATTTCATCAATTGTTGCACTACTTATTCTTTTTTTTTTAAAGATTTATTTATTTATTTGAGGGGGGGAGAGAGAGAGCAGGGGGAAGGGGCAGAGGGAGAGGGAGAGAGTTAAAATCTCAAGCAGATTTCCCACAGAATGCAGAGCTCAACACAGAGCTCCATCTCACAAGCCCAAGATCATGACCTGAGCCAAAATCAAGAGTCAGACGCTTGACCAACTGAGCCACCCAGGTGCTCCATTGCACATACTTATTCTTAACACAAAGTATTAATTCTATGATTTTGATTATCTTAACTTTTTTACAGTTAATGCTGAATCTTCCCAGTTTTAAAATACACATTCCCACAAAGGAAGACAAGTTACTGTTACAGGTACCTTAGATTACTTGTCACCAGAGACTTTGGATGGATGAACTGTAGAGGTCTTTTTTTTTTTTTAATTTTACTTATTTACTTGAGAGACAGAGAGAGAGAGAGAGCATGAGGAAGAGGGAGGGAGAAGCAGGCTTCCAGCTGAGCAGGGAGCCCGACGTGGGGCTTGATCCCAGGACCCCAGGATCATGACCTGAGCCGAAGGCAGTCGCTTAACTGACTGAGCTACCCAGGCTCCCCTATAGAAGGTGTTTTACCTCTGTGAATGTCATACTGAGTCTCTTTTTATGGTAACTCTGTCAGAGACTACAAAACTTAAAAAGCATTGGTTTCATAACTCACTTAGTTCATATCCATCATTCTCTCTGCTTATAGATGTCCGAAGCTCCTATTCAGACTAATCAACCTGTGTAGATTTTTTAAATCATTGACTCAAGAGATTTTGACTTTGAAGACTCTTATTTTATATTTAGCAGATACCTTTGAGTATTGACCACCTGTACTCTGCATATCTCACATGGCTTTATCTAATTTACTGTCCTAATTTATAAGGTCATTTTACCAACATGTTCCTCCCCAATCATTCTCAATCTGATTATTTTCTGAGAACAAAAATTTGAGAAGTAAAGTTACCAGATTAAGTGTATGAACATTTTTGAGGTGATTCATATATTATCCCAAAATGTGTTCCAACAAAAGTGATTTTGATTTACATACTCACTTGCATTATTTGGGCTGACTTTTACACTGCACTCTTGCCAACATTAGATATTATTTATTTTACAAAATGTTAATTTTAAAAATGCTATCTCATTAATAAAAATGCTTTCATTTTTCTGATTACTAATAAATTTAATAGTTCCCAATATTTATTCACCTGTGTAGTTTTCTTTTGTAACCTTGTCTATTCATGGCTTTATTTATTTTTCTACTGGTCTGTATATTTTTTATTGATTCATAACAGTTCTTTACATATTAGAGGTATTCTTCATCATATGTCTATCTATTTTTCCCAGCTTATATTTTGAAATTCTGGAGTTATAATTTATATAAAATGCATAGATCTTAAGTGTATAGTTTAATGAGCTTTTAACAAATGTATATATCCATTCAATAACCACCTCAATCAATATACAAAACATTATCCCCAAAATTTTCCTCCTGTTTCTAGTCAATTCCACTCTACCCCTGCCCTAGAGTCAACCACTTCCAGATTCCTATCACCATAGATTAGTTGTATTTATTATTCTTTGTAGGTTTATATAAGATTTATATTATTTCTTCCTCTTAAATATTTGATAGAATTTACTATTGAAGCAATCTGCGCTTAGTGTCTGTACAATTCCATGAAGTACTAATTAATCATTTCCAATAAATAGAGCTTTGTCTCCTATCAGACTCTGGGAAAATCAAAGAAATATATGACAACCGCTGTTTTCAATTAAGGCTTATAATCAAAAAAGGAAATAAATCATTCATTTACTCAATTCATTAAACAAGTATTTCTTAATCAATTATATAATACAGGATACAACAAGAATAATAAAACCGTTCCTTAAAAGTAAATTTCAATTTATTTATTTATTTTTTTTAAATGGTA